CACTTTCTAGAAAATATGAGCAAATTCAAGCACCTAAAGTTCATAGTGTTAGTTCCATATTGTGTTGGCATTATTTTTTGACAAATAAATAGATTTACCTAGAATTATTTTAGATATTTTATTTAGACTTAGAGTTCTAGCATGTGAAGAAAGAGAAAGAGGAAAGAGCTTGAAGAAAGAAGTCTAATCCTACTTGGTTTACTATTCTTGAGGAGGAAGGCATGGGTGAGACTCCTAAGCACACTCTAACAAGGTTCATATGCTCTATATATTATCTTCACCCTCCCTTAGGGTTTTGGACGTGCAAAACTAAGAAAAACCTGAAGCAAATCCGATCAAAAGAAAAACAAGGTGCAGATTTCGAGACTGAAAATTTTCTGGACAGCCCGCACTGATTTGATCATCGCCGAAGATCCAACTGTTGGATTTTTCTTAAATTTTCAGAGAGTGTTTCAAACACATAGGGCTTCAAAGTTTTAAAATTTCACGTCAATCGGAGTTACGGATCTTCTGTTATCGAAGTTACAATCTGCATATTGCCGCTGATTTTTTGCACAGAATGCAGCTCTGATTTTGTGGACAATCGGAGTACCAAATCTTGTCTGATCGTGCTGAAATTTTAGGAGGAGTCTAAGGACTCGTGGAGCTTCAATCTGAACGGTGGAGATCGAATTTCAACGGTTCCATCTCGAGTTATGAGCTTTGGAACAGCCTGCATAGTTTTGTAGATCAAGGAGAATCTTAATTTGAAGGTGTATTGGAATCTACGTCCTTGAAGAAGATCTTTGAGAAGGTGTAATAAGCCGTGGAGATAGACGCAAACCGAGTTTGTCGTCAAGTCATTCGTAAGTAGAAAAATCAATACATTAGAAGGTTCTGTTGTGATTGATTGTGTAATTCTTACGGTGATTTAGTGGAAGGGCTATTACACGGACGTGGGCCTTGCAGACGTAGGAGAATTTGCTCCGAACTGCGTGAACAATTCTGGTGTCTTGCTTGCTGTTTTTACTTTATATTCTACGTGTGTGCTTATGACAGAGAAGGTGTTATAGCACTCTGTCAGTCATCTGTTACTGTGACAGTGCTGCAGCATCTTCTCTACAACATAGTTGATTGTTTTGTTTGCATAGCTTATGTTTGGTGTTATCCGCTGCGCCCCCACGAACTTACACATAGTAAACCTACAAATCATGGTAATAAGTCCTTCCTTCGTTCTAAAATTATCGTATCACTTCGAACAATATGCAAAACTTGACTCTTTTTGAATTATTTTGTTTCCAAATTTATATTGAAACAAAAAAGTATAAATTAAATATATAAAAGTTATCGGAAAATGTAACATTGACAGTAATTTGGGATAGGGAGAGTATTTTTGCTTACTACTGTAATGAGTCTTTTTAAGTTTCTAGAAGAAATTATTTCCGTCTCCAAATTATTTACCCTCTTTGATCGAAGTTTCATATTTCATCATTTTTAAATTATTTTATTTTAAAATTTATACAAAAATAAAATATAAAACTTACATATTAAAAATTTACATCAACAGTTTTATAGGAAAAATGGTGACAAAAAATTTAATTTTATCAAATAATTTATGAAAATATATAAATAAATAAAAATTATTGAAAACCCTAATCGCGACAAAGATACTTAATAGACATTTTCTTGTAGATTACTAATTTCAAAACGGTCGTCACGCATCTTTGTTGAAAAATAAGGCATTATCATGACTTTATAGAATTCCCCGACTAGAATCACATCTTGCAATGATTTCTGTGGTGGTACAACAGGTTGCAATGATTTTACTAGCAAAATATTTACACTATGTTTGGTTGAAGGAATTTGAAATGGAAAGGAAAAGAAAATGAGATGTGGAATAGTTTTTCTTGTTTAGATAGAGAGAACAAAAAAAAGATAAGTGGAAAGAAAAGGAGATGAGAAGACAAAATATATTAAGAGAACTGAAAATCAAATTTCTCCCTTTTAGTAAGGAAAATGAGAGAAAACTATTTTCTTTTTTTTTTCTTCCAGATTCCTTGAACCAAACATAATGTTAAAGTAACATTTGAGAATTAGACTTCATTTGAAATTTGTAGAATTTTGTGAAAGGTTGAATTAGTTTTCATTGAGTATTCACAACGTATAAATACAAGTTGGTTTGGGGCTGCTTTGGGCCAAGCCCGAATACATACAAGGAAAGATATATACATGGAAATAATATAGAAATATGGAAATATAACTATTTATGCTAGAACTCCTCCTCAAGTTGGAGCATGAAGATCACAAATGCCCAACTTGGATAGTTGGAAAGAAAAGAGAGGTCTGTTCAGAGCTTTGGTGAATAGATTGGCTTATTGCAAGCGAGTAGGAACATAAGCTGTGGTGATCTCTCGGCGCTGAACGCACCCACGGACAATATGGCAATCAATGTCAATATGCTTCATGCCCTCATGAAAAAAAGGATTAGCAGCAATAAACAAAGCAGATTTATTATCACAAAATAAGCAGGGCGTTGTCGGTGGAGTAACACCAAGCGCACCAAGGAGGCCCCGAATCCATCGGACCTTTGCGCAAGCGTTAGCCATAGCACGATATTCAGCTTCGGCGGAGGAGCGCGACACGGTAGTTTGTTTCTTTGTTTTCCGGGAAACTGGAGAACCACCAAGTGAATAAAATAACCACTAACAGACTCGCGAGTAAGAGGAAAAGATGCCCATTCAGAGTCACAATAAGCAGATAGTTGAAGAGAATTATCACTTCGTAGAAGAATTCCCTGTCCTGGATGACCCTTCAAATAGCGAAGGACACGCTTGGCAGCATCCATATGATCAAGACGTGGGGCATGCATAAACTGAGATAGAACATGAACCGAATAAGATAGATCTGGCCGAGTGATGGTAAGGTAGATCAGGCGACCCACGAGGTGTCGATATTGACCCGGATCCTGTAGCTCGGCGCTAGCCGAGCAAGCCTGACCGTGGTTTGATGTGATGGGGGTGTCCGCCAGCTTACAACCCACTAACCCGGCCACATGAAGTATATCTAACGCATATTTACGTTGGCACAGAACAATCCCCACGGCTGACAGAGCACCCTTGAGGCCCAAGAAATATGATAAGAGCCCCAAATCCTTGATTTATTACCACACGCCACTAACTAAGTTGTCACTGACTTTCCCTTTTTCGAGTCCCCACTACTGGTCCCCCCAAAGGGTCTCTTTCCACTTGTGGTTGGTCGGGCTTTTGACCATGCATTCTCAATCTTCAGACTTTCCTTGTAATCAAGTCGTATGCTTCTAAGAGATCAAAAGTGGGAATAATAGACACGTTTAGCCTAAGGTAAGGTCGAAGCCTTTTGCAAAATTGTAACACCCCAACCCGCATACCCCGAACCAACGAGTTAACGAACTTGATTTCTACTAAATTGGAATCCAAACACAATAATTTTCAAAAAAATTTAAAAAATTTTAAACATTTAATTCAAACACAATAATATCTCAGAATCGTTATCCCTTAGCGTTTTGTAGGTTACCACACGAGGTGGCAGTGGTAGTGGTGGTTCAAACATTGACGCGTTTGTTAGAATAAAGGACCAACGCTAGAGGGGGGGTGAATCGCGTTTGATCGTAGAATCGCAGGAATTAAAAAATTTAAAGGAGAAGAAAAGAAAAGAGTAAGAGGCACACCGAATTTACCCTGGTTCACCACAACTTGTGGCTAATCCAGCCTCCCGAGAGACTCTCTCGAGCTACACTACTTCCGTTAAGCTTACGGGTTCTTAACAAACCGTTACAACCTGAGAACTCGAGTCCCACGAGCCTCAACAACACTTGCTCGGAGATACCGCACTCCAAGACTTCAGCCCGAAGGAAAATACCTTTCCTTCGTACAACCAAGGGAAACAAGCTTCCCTTAACGTGTATACAACACTAAGACACTCAAGAACAAGACTCTCCTTAAGAGTGGATATTGAGTAAAACTATATACGCTCAAGAACAACTCAAACTTCACACGAATTGGCTCTAAGAAGCTATTAAAAATGATGTTGTTTGAATGCAATGATAGTATGAATATTGTGAGGTGAATTTGGTGTGTAAAGCAGACCCAAACACCCCTTTTTATAGTGCCAAAATAGGCTCCAACGGACCAATCCATTAAAGGGGTGATTGGCTTGATTTGTGGGATTGAATAAATTTGGGATCTGCAGGATATTGGCTTACCAGCGATGTATGGACCTTACCCATCTCTGGTAGGCCAAATTTCCTTCAGTTTTGAAGCCAACGGTCACCTACCCATCGATGGGTACAAGCTTCCCATCGCTGGGTGAGAGGTTGACTTCCAAACAAGGAAAGAATCAACCTTAAATGACTTCCAACGGTCATGCCTTCCCAGCGATGGTTAAGCCTTCCCATCGCTGGGTTCCCATCGATGGGTGAAAGTCCCCATCGCTGGGTAAGGTCGTTCTGCCTTGTGTTGATGTTGGACCAAGGCTTTAACAGCGATGGGTAGAACTTCCCATCGCTGTTTGGCATGGTTCTGGAACTTGATTGGGCTAAGGGACAGCTTACCCATCGATGGGTAGTTCTTCCCATCACTGGGTAGGTGGTTACTCAAAAACCCATGGTTTTTGCCTTAACCGTGGCCTAGCCAACCGATGCAAAACCGACAGAAAAATCCAAAGTTCTCCAAAATACAAACCAAGTGTTTAAAACACTTATTTGAAGTATTTGGCTAAAAAATCAAGTGAGACACTTTAAAAACCACATCACTTGGGTAAAAACCACGGCTAGCCAATTCTATGCCGTTTTACGTGTTTTGCCAAACGACCAAAAACGAAAGGTCGTTTTTAAGATGTTTTTGTTGGAGAACTGTTTGAACATTCCAAAGAGTAAAAACCAATCATAAAATGTTGAAAACCACTTGGTTGGTTCGGATGCCAAAAACCAACGCCGATAACCGAATGCCGAACGCCGGTTCTGAAAGCCGAACGCCAGATGTCGTCCACCGTGAGGGTTAGCCGATTCAGGGTTTCGGCTATGGACTGGAAAGAGGCCCGGGCGGGAGCGGGGGCTGGGGCACGAGCACGACTCGGTCCGGCGTCGTCTCTGTCTCTAGACTTCTTCTAGAAGGTGCTGTCTTGAATGACCCAAATCTTCGTCATTTTCGTATCCAGTCCGGCGATGTGGATGTCGGAGGCGACGATGATGTCCATGATGAGGAAGGCGTACGGCAAGCTCCGCTCGGTGGCGATGGAGGCGCAATCTGGCATGTGAATCATGACAAATTTCGCCCAGTTGATGGAGGCACCGTGGGTGATGGCGTGAATTGCCTTCAAATCTTCGTTGAAGAGCGAGGTATGGCTGCAGTCCCGGGGGCGTAGAATCCGGGTGATGATGTAGAGGAGGAGGCGCTTGTCCGGCGGGGCCGAGTGAATCGTCTGCGCGCCGCTGTGGCGAATGAGATTGGTGATCCCAAGCTCTCGGATGACCACCGCCTCGTTGTTGAGGATCCAGTCGTCGCCACCGTACGTCGCGATGTCGTCACCGCAGATGGGCAGCCCTGCGACACGAGCAAAGGTAGGCAAATCAATCTCTATGTTGTAGAGATTGATGTTAATGTAGATGGTATCGCCGTCCCGGCGTAGATTGGAGTAGAAGGCCCGGACAAAGGCGGGATTGTAGGAGGCGCGCCTCTTGGAGACAAAGGGCCACAAACTCGACTCTTGGAGTTGATTGTCGAGGTCGTGGTATCCTTTTTGTTGGGGAAACAACTCTGGCAGCACCCTTGGCGGAGAGATGGGGCATTTGGCGAAGTGGGTGATGAAACGATTGAGTTCTTCCTCCGAGCCAAACTCAAGGAAAGATCTGTCAAGGTACGGAAAGGGTTGAGGCGCAGAGCTCGTAGCCTCGGCCGGACCTTTCTTCTTTGACGCCTTGGTCTTCTTCCCTCCATCCATTGTTGAGGCGATTTTGAAGAAAAGATTGATGAAATGTGTAAAATAGGCTAAAGGAATGAAATTATGATGTTAATGGTGTGTTAAAATGATCAAAGATGATGTGAATATATAGTGAGAGAGATTGAGGGCTGTTTGAATTCAAAAATATGGCTGTTGGGCATTTAATTTGGTGTTTAACGGCTCTGAAAGTTTGAATCGCACCAGCCTTCCCAGCGATGGGTAGCACTTCCCATCGATGGGAAGGTCACCACTGGAAAGCAATGGAAAACCTCAAGGCTGCCTTCCCATCGATGTTTGGATTCTCCCATCGAGGGGAAGGTGGATTCTGGAAGGTGAAGAATAGATGACAAAGGCCTTCCCAGCAATGTTAATACCATCCCATCACTGGGTTGGTGGTTTTGGGAAATCCATTAAAAAAAATTTAAAAAATAGTGTCAAACACCCACGATGGGAAGAAGTTCTCATCGATGGGTGGGGAGGTTTGGAAAACGTTTTTAAAGAAAAGTCATTCACCCAGCGATGGGTAAACAGTTTCTGGAAATCCGTTAAGTGTTTTTTTTTAAAAAAAATTGTCAATCACCCATCGATGGGAAGAGGGGTTCTGGAAGAAAGAAAACTTCTCTCCTAGCGATGGTATAACCCACCCATCGCTGGTTCCCCCTGACTTCCAGATTTCTTCACTTCGAACCGTCCCTGCAAAAAAGAGCAACACTTTGGTACCCAAAGTATGTCTATGGGTCCTTGGGGGTTAGTTAACTTTTATTGCCCACACACACACCCAAAAATCCGTTTCCTTACGCGCGCGCACACACGATTAGATGATCGTTCTTTCCAATATGTATAATTGGTTCCATAAAAAAGAGGTGGCCGTGTGGTTGATTGCCCTTCACCTATTCCTGCATACAAATTTCTAGAAGAAGAACCCATGATAGCTTTTACTCTCAAACGCTAGAGGGGGGGTGAATCGCGTTTGATCGTAGAATCGCAGGAATTAAAAAATTTAAAGGAGAAGAAAAGAAAAGTAAGAGGCACACCGAATTTACCCTGGTTCACCACAACTTGTGGCTAATCCAGCCTCCTGAGAGACTCTCTCGAGCTACACTACTTCCGTTAAGCTTACGGGTTCTTAACAAACCGTTACAACCTGAGAACTCGAGTCCCACGAGCCTCAACAACACTTGCTCGGAGATACCGCACTCCAAGACTTCAACCCGAAGGAAAATATCTTTACTTCGTCCAACCAAGGGAAACAAGCTTCCCTTAACGTGTATACAACACTAAGACACTCAAGAACAAGACTCTCCTTAAGAGTGGATATTGAGTAAACTATATACGCTCAAGAACAACTCAAACTTCACACGAATTGGCTCTAAGAAGCCATGAAAAATGATGTTGTTTGAATGCAATGATAGTATGAATATTGTGAAGTGAATTGATTGTGTAAAGCAGACCCAAACACCCCTTTTTATAGTGCCAAAATAGGCTCCAACGAACCAATCCATTAAAGGGGTGATTGGCTTGATTTGTGGGATTGAATAAATTTGGGATCTGCAGGATATTGGCTTCCCAGCGATGTATGGACCTTACCCATCACTGGTAGGCCAAATTTCCTTCAGTTTTGAAGCCAACGGTCACCTACCCATCGATGGGTACAAGCTTCCCATCACTGGGTGAGAGGTTGACTTCCAAACAAGCAAAGAATCAACCTTAAATGACTTCCAACGATCATGCCTTCCCAACGATGGTTAAGCCTTCCCATCGCTGGGTTCCCATCGATGGGTGAAAGTCCCCATCGCTGGGTAAGGTCGTTCTGCCTCGTGTTGATGTTGGACCAAGGCTTTAACAGCGATGGGTAGAACTTCCCATCGCTGTTTGGCATGGTTCTGGAACTTGGTTGGGCTAAGGGACAGCTTACCCATCGATGGGTAGTTCTTCCCATCACTGGGTAGGTGGTTACTCAAAAACCCATGGTTTTTGCCTTAACCGCGGCCTAGCCAACCGATGCAAAAACCAACAGAAAAATCCAAAGTTCTCCAAAATACAAACCAAGTGTTTAAAACACTTATTTGAAGTATTTGGCTAAAAAATCAAGTGAGACACTTTAAAAACCACATCACTTGGGTAAAAACCACGGCTGGCCAATTTTATGCCGTTTTACGTGTTTTTGCCAAACGACCAAAAACGAAAGGTGGTTTTAAAGATGTTTTTGTTGGAGAACTGTTTGAACATTCCAAAGAGTAAAAACCAATCATAAAATGTTGAAAACCACTTGGTTGGTTCGGACGCCAAAAACCGATAACTGAATGCCGAACGCCAGTTTCTGAAAGCCGAACGCCGGATGGCTTGGTTTTTGGTTTGGGCGAACACCAATTGTTTTTAATGTTTTAAACATGTTTGAAAAAATTTTTTATGATGTAATAAATGCCAAGGTGTAAAAATTGGGTCGGTCTTGATCACAATTGAGACCGACTCAACGACACTAAGACTACGGTCTTCGTTCTTGGTCTTCGTTTAGCTCTTGTCCTTATCTTCATTCTTCGCTTTGTATATTCAATGTCTTATCTTAATCACGGCGGATTGTAATTATCAAAACCTATCACAAAAACAAACACCGCTTTAGTACGAAAACGTGACAAACCTGTGTTTCAACAGCGTTGGCTATCTATTGTAACACATTAGCCAGGAATGTGGGAATCACAAGGTCGGGTTGACCACCAGCGTTACGTTTTGCTGATCATTGGATTCGTTGTGGACAGGAGGAGTGAAGCTGGATGCTTCAATATGAACACTGACGTGTTCATTGTTGCCTTGACCGTGGGTAGATTCTTGACTCATTCTACAATAACAGAAATTCCTTTATTATGATTCTTTTATTCAGTGGTTGAGTTTAAGACATGAATTGCAAAGGATTAGAACAGTTGATACAATCAGCGGATTTGAAACGAATAACAAGATAATTTTCTAACCGCTTACGTTCGATTGGTTGTGTTGGGAAAAATTATAGATTTTGATGATGATGTATTTATATTGTAATAGGGACTTTAGGTCACCCCCAACATTCAATGTAATTTTCTTTTTAGAAATATTGTTAAAACCGAGTTCTTGAGATTTCTAATAAAACTTGTGATATTTCACTTTGTGGTTCGATTTCTCACTTTGAAGACTTAGCAAATTCAGTGATATGGAAATTGGAATTCTTGCTCGGAAATGTCAGAGACAAGTAAGAAATTCTCAAAGCAGTTGCTTACTTTGGAATTCTAAAATCTGGAATGCTCTATGATACCCGGAATTCTCGCTACAACCCGCTGAAAGCTAAGTCATCCGAATCGGAAGACTAGCGCGGATCTCTTTCTCACCCAGAAGTTTAAGAATGACTTATCCGGAAATGTCAAGCTCAGAATCGGATATCTCAAAGAAGATCGAAATTCTCAGAAGCGGACAAGTGAGAAAGGACTTAGAAATTTATCTAAGTCATGAATAAAAAATTCTACCCATTGGTAAGGAAAAATCAATTTCTTGATTTTCAACGGCTAGATTGAGGATAATTAAATTGATTCGAGAACAAATGACAAGAAGACGAAGTCTGGAGTCCCTAAATTGAAGAGCTCATCTAGAATTCTTGAACAAACACAAAAAGACAAATTGGGTACTCCACTCAATAAAGAGCTACAGTCTAGAATTCTTGAACAACAGCTAAAGGACAAATTCTGTGGAAAAGGAATCCCTCCTCAAACAATTGGGTATGTCCAAACACCCATTCCAAGGAGAACCATCAATCTCGCTCTTCATTCAAATTGAAGCTAGCAAATGTAACGGATAGTCTATTCTTTTCAACAGATAGATTATCCATCCAGCCTATATATAGCTCCCATGGAAGACTGAAGAATATAGAGAGCACAATAATACAAAAACAACAGCAAACAACTAACAAAGCTATCTCATTTACAGTTAGCCTAAACGCTTGATAAAGAGATATTTCTAAACTCCTTATCCAGAAGCAAACTCCTCCTTCTTCCAAAGAGCTATAGTGTAAACACTTGACGGTTTCCTCGCCTCAAGTAACACACAACGTTGAAGGATACAACTTTTAATCAAACATCTTGATTAAAACGGGGCACATCAACTTTTCTAAAAGTTGATCTTGCAAGTCCTATTGTTTGGACCTTGCAGTTGTTGAAGAAGCGTGACCTTCGAAGGAACAACAAAGCCAGCACGAGTGCAGTAGCAATATTGGCATTGCGAAGATATACCATGCAGAAATTCACAAAATTGTAATTGTTGGTTCATTATTCAACGACCAACTACATAGTGGATTTTGAGGACGTAGAAGGATTATCCCACCTTCGAACCTCGTTAAAGTTTGCGTGTCTCTCTCTCTCTCTTATCTTTACTTATATTTGCACTTATATTAACTGTGAAACTAACCCATCCATATTAATTACTGCTCCAATAACCCACCAAATTTCACAGACAATCTAAGTTCACAAGAAATTTAGATTAACACTCATTTCACATTTTCAAAAAGAAACGAAAAAGTTTTAAACTTGTAACAAAGTCATTCCCCCCCCCCCCCCCCTCTAGACTTTGTATCTCACCATTTAGGGGACTACCAGGTTGGATCGTGATGAATCTACAGATGGGTCTTCCATGCCTGATCCACATACATTGTTGGCAGAGTCTACGCTGAAGGTCTTTTCGGGATCATCTCGTTCCCATCTAGCCTTGCGGCGCAGATAAATCCTTTGTTTCATTATTTTCTTGAAGCGATGGGCACCTTAATAACATATCAGCGAGTCATATACATTTCGTTTGTTCTTTCATCATTTACCAAGTACGAAAGTCCGACTTGAGTCAACACTCGATATCATTTCAGAATTAACAGTTGACATCTATAAAAATTTAATAGAGTCAAATTCAATACTTAAGTTTTAATACCTTCCTCGAGCAGAGGGATACGAGAGTCGTGGATTTGCTTAAATTTTTTTTAAGGGCTATATATATGTGTGTGTGTGTGTGTATATATATATATATATATATTGTTAGAATAAGTGCCCTTCACTAGAGGGGGGTGAAT